CATGCGCTTAAATCCCAGTCTGTTGAGCGACTGCACCGTAACTTCCGTAGCTGGCCCGCTGTCGCCTCGCGTCTGGGCGCCATCTCCTCCTGCCGGTCTCGGCACCGTCCTCCTTAGGGGGCTCCGGCCAGCGGCCGGGTCGGGAGTCAGGTCCCTTCCGTTCCCGGAAGCAAAGCTGCGTAGTGTGATCATGTGTTTTCCCAGGAGACACTGCTCGCCAGGGTAGAAAACTCTATTCGGAATCCGGTATTAGTAGTTTTGTACTCCGTGCGTGGACACTGTGCCCTTAGGGATGAGGGACACACGAGGGGCAGACAGCAGATGGCCCCGGGTTGGGAAGTGAGTGGGGACGTCTAAAAGGAGAAATAACGGGTGAAGAAGACTTGCCATTTTACGAGAGGGGAAGCAAGAGCCACGTGTGCAGGTCGGGATCAATGTGCAAGATGGAGGGGGAGGGGCCCGCTGCAGAGGGGCTGCAGGCCAGGTGTGCGGGGGGGGGGGGGGGGGGGGGGGGGGTTTCAAGCTGTGCGTCTGGAGCACATCTTACTTAGAGGATGGTTGATATGAGTAATAGTAAATGTCGTGCCTTAAGAATATTCCAACAATAGGGGCGCCTGGGTGGCTCAGTCGGTTAAGCGTCCGACCTCAGCTCAGGTCATGACCTCACAATTCATGGGTTCGAGCCCCACGTCGGGCCCTGTGCTGACAGACAGCTCAGAGCCTGGAGCCTGCTTCAGATTCTGTGTCTCCCTCTCTTTTTGACCCTCCCCTGCTCACACTGTGTCTCTTTCAGAAATAAATAAAAAACATTAAAAAACAGTTTTAAAAAGAATATTCCAACATTTAACGATACTGGTTTTTTTTTTAATTTTTTTTTTTTTACAAATAGTTTATTGTCAGATGAGTTTCCACATAACACCCAGTGCTCACCCCCACAAGTGCCCTCCCCCATGCCCCTCCCCCCTCCCCCCCACATCCATCAGCCCTCAGTTTGTTCTCAGCATTCAAGAGTCTCTCATGGTTTGCCTCCCTCCCTCTCCCCCACCATTTCCCCCCTTCTTCTCCCCCTTGGTCCTCCGTCAAGTTCCTCCTAATCCTCCTATACGTGCAAACATACGATATGTGTCCTTCTCTGCCTGACTGATTTCGCTCAGCATATAACGATACCGGTTTAGACCAAATGAAAGTACCCCTCTTTCCAAGCCACGTGCAGGAAACTTTACATGTCCTTCCACGGGATTGTGCCCGTGGCTCACAGATCTGTTTAAAAAGTATTTTCAGCTGTGTCGTCTCCAGTTGTGAGCTCTACTACTCCTGGGGTTGGTGGTGTAAGAGATGTCGCTTCATATGGGGAAAGGGACGCGGATTGCCCACGCTGGGCTCTGCCTTCTGAAAGGCACCACCCTCGGGATGGACAGGGCGTGTCCTGCCCGGGGGTCGCGCCCCGGGGGACACGCCCCTCCGCTCAGCCCTGAGGGGAGGGTGAGGGACCGCGTTCTGTGCGCAGACACCACGCGGCCGCCCAGGAAGAATGAGGAGGACGGGAAGGAGTACCACTTCATCTCCGCCGAGGAGATGACGCGGGACATCTCTGCCAACGAATTCCTAGAGTTTGGCAGCTACCAGGGCAACATGTTCGGCACCAAATTTGAAACCGTGCACCAGATTCATAAGCAGGACAAGATTGCCATCCTGGACATCGAGCCCCAGGTGGGTAGGCGCGGCGCGGCGGGGCCGGGACGGCGGCGCGGCGGGGCCGGGACGGCGGCGCCAGGAAGGATGGCCGTAGCGCCGGGCTCGTCGTGGCGGCTAACTCCGGTCCTCTCTCTCCTTCCTCGTTTTCCAGACCCTGAAGATTGTCCGCACGGCAGAACTGTCCCCGTTCATTGTGTTCATCGCGCCGACTGACCAGGGTGCCCAGGTGGGAAGGACGGGGTTGTGCAGGGTGGATGCAGGGTCGCCGTCCGGGTCTGCCCAGACCGGGACATCAGTCCGGACCGTGGCTGGTGATGGACCCCCCACAAGCTGCCTGGCCGCGGCCGTCCTTCCCCAAAGGGCGTGGGCACATTCGATCTGCCGAGCCAGAGGCTAGGCCGGCACCCGGGCCAGGGCTCAGGCCCAGTCGTCGTTCCCAAAGTGCGTAGGGCCCAGTGGCAGAGACGGGCAGTTTGGCAGATCCCCACGCCGGCGCGACGTGGGCTCAAGTGGCGCGAAGGAGGGCTAGCAGAGGCGGCCCTCAACCCACCCTGGGGTGAGCGTGGCTGTGGGGACAGAGGAAGGGCTCCTCCTACCTGCCCCGCGCCATCCTCCCTACGCCTCGCTGCCCCCAGCCCATTCACCGGGCCTGACGGAGATCTCGCTGTGTCGCTGCGTAGACGGCTCCTCCCGCCTTTCGTAGTAGCTGCGTCTGTGACGTTAACTCTTCATTCTCGCCGTTTCCTTCTCAAAGGCCATTTGGGCTGTTTTCAAAGCGACCATTGTAAAGCACGCTGCGGCCAGCGGCCGGTACGTAGGGCATTTGACACATGTGCAGTGTACGCGGAAAAGTTCCAGGCAGGACCGCCCAGTCCAAGGATGCGTGCGGTGGGAATCGAGAATTTGGAGACACATTTCCTGCGACGGTGCTTGCTTCCATGTGCCGGGACCGTGTTCTCCAAAGTTCTTTTCTGGCCTAACGGAAAAATGCAGTCTCGTAGTTACGCCTTTTACAGCGAGTGGTTGAGCAGCTTGTCAGACTGTTAAGGGTTATTTGTGTCCTCTGCAAACTGCCTGCTCGGCTCTGGGGCTAATTTCTCCACTGGCTTATTGGCGGCCTTCTCTGTGATTCCTAGGACCTCTGCGTGAGAGGAACTGGCCCTGTGTGATGGCAGCTGGAGACATTTTGTCCCGGTTTGGGATGTCTTTTGGTGTTTGTTGCTGTGCAAACATTTTTACTTTTATGGAATGCTCAGTCTTTTCATGGACACAGGTTTGGGATTCTAGAAAGAGGCCCAGGATCGCAGCTGTGGTGGCTGTGGGAAGGGATGCGTTCAAAGGCGCGAACTGGGGGAACGGCTCGTCCACACCGTCTCAGTGTAGCGTAGCTATTGGCCTTCAGAGCTGGGATTCTTCAGTCAGGGTTGCTTCGAGATCCTCGACCCTTGCGGCGTTCCTAACCCATCGCCTCTGTGCGCCCTGCTCTGTTCGCATTCCCAAGGAAGGGCTTCAGGGTTTGAGCGCGTGGTTCTGAGCCCGGCCGTGGTCACAACAGTCCGGGCACGCCGACCTGCCCTCATGGGCCTCGGGGACGGCCGTGCCGTGGCCCGCTTCATCGTGGCTCTCTCTCCTTTGCAGACGGAGGCCCTGCAGCAGCTGCAGAAGGACTCGGAGGCCATCCGCAGCCAGTACGCGCACTACTTTGACCTCTCGCTGGTCAACAATGGCGTCGATGAAACCCTGAAGAGATTGCAAGAAGCCTTTGAGCAGGCGTGCAGTTCCGCACAGTGGGTGCCCGTCTCCTGGGTGTACTGAGCCCACACGCCCTTCTCCAGCGCCGTGAACTCCGTTCTCCTTGCTTTCAGACAAACGGGGACGCTCCCCGAGCTTTGTCAGCTTCCTGCACTCCGCTCCTATCCTACTTTTGCCAGTGGGCGTCGGGCTGGCACAGGCCCCCGGCGGGGCTCTGACCTTCCTGCTAGATGGAGCCCCCGCCAGCAGGGCCTCAGAAGGCTCTCGAAGCCTGAGGCCGCAAGTACTGTCAAAACACGACTGCCGATCAAAGACGGTGCACACAGAGAGGAAAAGCAACAGACCTGGTTCTTAAAAGCCCGTGCACCTTCTCACCTTTAAGTACCCCAGGCTCAATTTCACTGGTCTTGGAAGCATTCATAACCTCGGCCTTGACTTTCTAAAATGCCAAAATGAACCAGCTGTGCAATAGGAGGTCTGCTCTAGGGAACCCTCAAAAGCAATAAAAATGTTGTCGTGTTAAAATGCCAGTACCTGGTAACTCCTTGCATGTCCGCCTGCACAGGTCCCCGGAGGGGGAACCCGCACCGCCGGCCCCGAGCTCCCAAGGGCAGCCTCACCCCGGCTGCCTCTGCTGGGTCCCTAAGTCTCCCCTCGGGCACGGCACAATCTGGAGCCCAGGGGTCAAAATAACCCAACCTCTCATGAGCGGTGTGCGTGCACTGGGCTGGGCACGACCCGGTGCTTACTCGTGTACCAGACACATGCCCACACACGCATGCACACACGTGCGCATCTAAAAAAAAACCTGGGGAACAAAGGTGTGAACGTCCCACTTGTATTCCATGGGGGGGGGGGTGAGTGCGCACATTCACGCCTATTTCAGGGACCAGAAGATTGCCGAGGGCACGCTGCCTGTTTTCCTCCTACCCGACCTGACGTCGGGGCACCCACAACTGCTTGCCCAAATTAAACTGTGTCCGGAAGAGAAACCCCACTCCCCTGTCCTCGCAGTAGCTGCTGGGGTCACAAGCAGCTGTGTCCACGTAGAGAGTCACACAAAGCGCCCCCATCGTGGACGAGAAGCCACTAAGGGGACACGGCTGGCTCCCCGCTGCGACCTGCCGGAGGCCTTGCATTCTGCCCTCGCTCTGTGGAGGGAAACCCAGCGCCGGGCCTTGCTCAGGATCCCCATCCGTGATGAGCCCCCTGCACAGCGGCCCCTCCCGCCAGGCCTGCTGCATAGACCCTTGGGCCTTTCTCCTCTCAGTCGTTTGCGGGATCACTGGATTTGTGAGGACGCCCCTCTTTTTATCTAGTCCATGTCCCGAACGGAGATGTTCGGACATCTCCAGATGTATTTGGTCCCCTGCCAGAAAACAGGCCCCGAGCTGAATGGTGCAAGGCACAGAACCAGACAAAGAAAAGTAACCACACGATAAACACCAAATTTCAAATAGGACCTAGACTTCCCTAGATTTTTAATCAAAAACATTTCATATTTTTTGTTCTACTAGCTTGAGATCCCCAACAATCAGAAAATCCAACAAGAATACTTTTAAAAACAAGTAAAGTTTAATAAGTAAAAATTACAACCTTCTCCCAGGAGTGAGCGATTGCATCCTTTGAAAGTAAACGAGGGTTAAAAGCGGACAGAGCAGCTTCTAGCTCCCGTCAGGTCACGAACACACTAGGCAGGTGGATCCAGAGGCGCACAAGGCTCTTGACAAGTACACAGAACACTACGAAGCCAGAGATGGATTGGACACAGCTGGTAAGTTTGGCCCGCCTCTGGCAGGGGAACACAGGGTGACAGAGGCAGCTGACGCCAAAATAGACCCCTGTCCTCACAGGACACGGGAGGGACAACTGATCTGCGCCGTGAGCAGCGCGGCTCAGTTCTACGGTTTTACTTGCTCTACACCATTTCATCGAGCAACGTTCGGACACTTTCAATGAGCCGGGGGGGGGGGTGCGCAAACCAGGAGAGCAAGGGTGTTAAAACAGCCACCGGGGACTGGCTGAGATGGTGCCTGGGCCTTGCTGGGTCCGAAGGAGAGGGTTCCAGACTCTTCCAAGCACAGAAGCGGGTGGCATCAAATCCGCCTCCTTCACCCGTATCCTTAAAACAGGACAGGATGGGACGAGGGCACCAGGCGACCTCACAGGGCTCTGAGGTGGCAGGCACACGTGCCGGGGCGCTCCCCCCTTCCTGGGGCCGGGTTCCATTCCCTCAAGAACCAAAGGAATTGTTTGCTCAATAAGGCTTTAATTTCTCCTCCCGAATGGACACTGGGCTCAACGTGGTCTCCACTACTCAGAAACCACTTCCACTTTGATCTTCTTCTTCTTCTTCTTCTTCTTGCCGGTGTCACTGTCCTGGAAAAAAGAGCGCCTCACAGTATATGTTAACAGAACCAAATTAGAGAAGTTCCGAAAGCCTGAGAAGTGTCTCAGGATCGGTGAGGCTATCCCATGATCACTTTGCTCGTAACCAAAGTCCCGAGACCTTCAGTAACCCCCGCCCTCCGCCAGCAGCACACGTCTAGGTAAATGCTGGGGTTGGCCTGGTGCACCCCCCAGGGCTGTGGGATGGCACATGCAGCGTGGCCAACGTGGGGCCGCCACTCCCCTCCCCGTCGTGTTGACCGTGTTTTTCTACACACCCCATCTCCCGGATCGTCCGCACCGTCTCCACCAGCTTTGGCCTTCTTATCCTTCTTCTTCTTCTTTTCCTTCTTGACCAGCTGTGGCGACGTCTCGTCACTTTCACTCTCTCGCTTCCGCTAAGGTGGGGACAATCAATCACGTGTTAGGTCTTGGGCAAATGCGGAGAAAGGTTCAGGAAGAAAAGAAGCTAATTCTGACAAACTCCAGAACCCGGCTTACTGAGGACTCAAACTCGCTCTCCCGCCTACACAGCAGGGCACCGGAGCAGCCGGGACTGAACGGGTGGGCAGCGTGCCCTCAGACGAGGTGGGTGAGGCAGGGACGTGAGGCTGACGGCCCCCAGAGGGGCCAGAAGCCCGTCCCGGGTCACTGGGCGCACCCGCTCTGTGCTCCGACGCCAGCGGCCCCTGAGCCTGGGAGGCCGCAGTGCCACCATGAACCTCCGACGCCAAGCTGCCACCGTCTAGAGGGAACTCTGCTCCCACGCCAGCTGTGCCCGCGCCCGACCACGGGCAGGGACCTGAGGGACACGGACCCGCTGTCCTCCCCGCACACAATGCCGGGGAGTGTGACCGGGGCCGCAGGTGGTGTACGACCTGTAACCGCGTGCCACGCGCACCCCCGGGGGCGGGAAGCCTGCCACCCTGAGCCGCCACAGACGGCGGGGCCATGGTCCTGGGCACGGGCCAAACACAGACCTCCCCCAAAGCACACCACGAACTGATCCCGGCGCGGCCCTCACCTTCGGGGTTTTCACCGCTTCATCAACTGCTTTTGGGGCTTTTACCACTTCGGCAGCTTCCTGTGGGGCTTTTACTGCTTTGGCCACCACCTCTCTCTTGGCAGAGTCACTGAAAGAGACGGAGTGATGGGTCAGAGGCAGCGAGCGGCTTTCAGGCATTGAAAGGCACCATCCAAATTCTGACAACGGCCAGAAGTCCCCACTCACGGCTGCGGGCCGACTCCCCCAGGGCCCCATGAGCCGGACCACAGAGGGGGAAGTGTCTGCGTGCAGGCCCCCTCCCCCCCACAACCGGCCGGGGCCATCAAGGGTAGCGCCCACGGCCCCTGGGCCTCCTGCCAGCCCGCCCGCAGTAAGTGTCCCCCACACTCCATCTGCCCCCTCGGTGCACCCAGGCACTCCATGACCTCCTGGCCTGCTCCCTGTGCTCCCCTGCAGTCAAGGCAGCCGTCCGGGGGCCCCCACGCCACACCTACCCGCGGGGCTGCACAGCCTCCCACCCTCGCCACCGGGGCCAGCCTCACCGGCGCTCTCTGCCCACCCGGGACTCTCTCACCTGTAGTCCACGTACTCCTGTGTCCAGGCGACAGGCGTGCTGTCCGTGGGCTTGCCGTGCTTATCCAGAAGGCCCTGCTTGATCATCAACTTCTTCTGACTTGCCTGGTGGACCGTCGAGGTTTCAACATCAGAACAGTGTCGACACGAGGCAGGTACCGCGACCACTTACATGAGGCTCCTCCCTCGCAGTCTCACTTGGGCTTCACACCCGGCGCAAAGCCCACTGGACCAGTGAGAGCCTCTGAAGTGTCGTCTTGTGGCCCCTTCACCTGCCTCATTCTTCAACCACCGGGCCTTTGCACATGCCACCCCGGCTTCCCCAGACTCTCCCCTCACTTCATCTCACCGACACCCTGGCATGGCTCCAGCAGATCGCTCTCACCCAGGACCCCCCAACCAGGTCAAACCCCTCATTTTGGACTCCCAAGGTGCCAGGCACCTGTCTGCACTGCCTAATAAGCCTTCAAATTGGCTGAAGTTTGCCATTAACCGTACAACATGACTGGCACCAATCTGCTTGCCCGTTACAGTAAAATCTCAAAGGTCTAAGATGGGCCCATTTCTACTCACCATCAACTCACCAGAGCCGAGTACAACACAAGGCTGTGGTCGCAGGGACACGCCCGAGAGGGACCCAAGGGAATATTCAACAGCACCAAAATGAAAACACGACCCAGTGGGGCATACACCCAGTCCCACTTACCTTTGGACCCAAACCCCACTTCCGAGGATAAGTATCTCTCTCCATGATCACTCTCTTAATCTTGGCTACTATACCATGGTCACAGGTAGAGATCACTGCTGTGGTCATTAGTGCAATAGCTACAGGTGCGGGAGAGAGACAAAAAGCATGCATGGAGTAGAAAAGTGTGGTTGGTGATGAGCCCTAATTCCATCTTTTTATATAACTTTCACAAACCCACTAACAACTCAAAGCTCAGGGCCCCTGGCAGGCTCAGTCAGTTAAGCGTCCGACTTCGGCTCAGGTCATGATCTCGCGCGGTTCAGGAGTTTGAGCCCCGCGTCCGGCTCTGTGCTGACAGCTCAGAGCCTAGCGCCTGCTTCGGATTCTGTGTCTCCCTCTCTCTGGCCCTCCCCCACTCACACATTCTCTGCCTCTCAAAAATAAAAATTAAAAAAATTTTTTAAAAAAGTCAAAGCTCTACTGCCTTGAGGCTTCCTTTGCTGAGGATGTTCGTGTGGAGAAAATCTGCCATTATGGGAAGAAAGCCTCTGAAAGCATATTATCAGTTTAAAAACTATTTGCACTCATCACATAAAAGTCAATGCTTCCCTGATCCTCAGGAGTCCTAACGACTAAATCAGAGCTGTTCATTTCACGTGCGTCAGATGCCTCAGCAAAGGAAGCCCCCGGGTACACACGGACCGGCTGGGACGCTCCCTTCACGGAACCAAACACCCCAAGTTCCAAGGGATGACACAGCACTAGCCAAACACTCCCAGTGAACTGCTACAGACCGACCAGGAACGGACTAAAGTCTTCATCGGAATCGCCAGACATTTCTTCTCTTCGGGGAGGATTTCCTCCGCCCTCACCGGAGCCAAGCTGCTGAGACGCGGCCGCTACCACCAGCCAGCTGGACAAACCGCGGGCCCACCCACCAGGATCCTCTGCCAGGAGCACCTCTACAGGCCCCAGACAGCACGGCGATCACGTGAACCTGCGGGCCAGGGCCTGGGGGCCCGCTCTCGGCAAGCCCCCGCTTACCCATGCAGATAGCTTCCCCCTTGGTGGTGATGACCACGATCTCCTGATTGACCTCGATGCCGTCCTCGTACCGGAGGACCCCCGGCAGCATGATCTTCGCCCCATAGCAGATCGCGTTCACCTGAAGGGAGGGCGTGGCATGTCAGCCCCGGGGCTGCTCCGCCAGCCAGTGGGCCCCCCGCCCAAAAGCACGCCACGAGGGGTGGGCCTGCGAGCGTGCCCCCAGCCACGGAACAGGGCTAATGGCAGCGACAGCCACGGGCTACAATCTGGTGTATGAAGCAAGCAGCCACCGCGGAGGAGTCCCCTTATCCCCACTGACTCTAGCGTTAAAGGGGAATGAGCTACCTACTGCTCACGCGTCCACGGGACTTCAACCAAAACCCAGCCTTCATTTTCCTTAATTACTCCTCTCTCTAGTTTTTATCCTTGAGGAAACCCGACAGAAAACAGAGATCTGGCTATTAGCAGGACCCCAAAGTAACCAGCAAGAAGGGTATCAAGGCCTGGAAGTAAATCACACACCATCTTGCCTTTACTTACACGTACCTAGACCTCTTTTGCTGACCGTATACCTCCACCCAAATGCACCCAGAGGGCACCAACCTGACCCCAGCATAAGGAGGATTTATCATATTTCTGCTGTTGTTTCAGGTCATTAAGTTTTCTCAACTATAATAGCACAGCTTAGCATACCTCTGTTGTTTTCATCTCTTATGAACCATAACATACAAAAAATGCATCAAACGGGTACCTGGAGGGCTCAGTAGGTTAAGCATCTGACTCTTGATTTCAGCTCAGGTCATGATATGGTTTGAGCTTGAGCCCCATGTCAGGCTCTGCGCTGACAGCATGGAGCTGGCTCAGGATTCTTTCTCTGCCCCTCCCCTGCACTCTCAGGAATACAGTGAGTTCCAGGCCCATGTTCCGTGTAGGAATTACTTAAATAAAATCTTTTAAAAAAAACAACAGAGAAAACTGCTTTCAAGGCTTTATACCCTCAAACCAAGATTTAAAGAGAGGAAAACTTTTTACTAAAATCTCAAAAAAATAGCTTATATTATCGTTTCTCTGAAACACTCTTCTCAACTTTTAACCCCAATGAAAACAACCTTTTTCAGCAACAATTTAAATGGTCAGGACCATATGGTTTGTGGGATGGAGCCCCAAGCTCTGCGCAGACAGCGTGGAGCCTGCTTGGGATTCCCGCTCTCCCGTCCCTTCCCTGCTCTGTCTCTCTTTCAAAACAAGTAAATAACTATATCAAGGTTTGCTAAGCGCATGCAGAAGAACTACAAGCTTATGGGAGGGCAGGTTTTATGTACCACTGACAGTCTACTTTGGGAGTTTCATCAATTTGCCTTATTTTGATACGAAAGTAGTAAGAAAAGAACATGAGAGTCCAGAGTCCAATCTACAAAACCAGGAACAAAATAAAGCTAGAGGAAACTAGTCCGCTCACATTGTGCTTCATAGCTTTGCTTGGAATGAGTTTCCAGAGCAGACCGGACCTCCTCTCTGGAGTCGCGTCTTACCCAACTGCGGGCACGCAGCCCTGGACTCACCGCGCTGTCCTTCATCACCAGCCGTTTGTGAGATGTCAGGAGTTTTTCTAATGGGTAAACCACCCGCCGCAGGTAACTCTCATCCTTATGGTTGTCGTACAGCCACTGGGCATCAAGCACATCGTGCATCGTCACCATGTGATCCTGAAAAGCAGCCACGCATGAAAACTGTTCAGTGTCCCTGTATCTGAAACAGTCCAAGAGACCCCAAACTTCCAAACCGTGAATGAATTTAGTCCAAACTCATCGGTCCTTTAGTCTCTTCCCGATCACTCATCTTGCGCACATCTGTTAACTGCCGACTATTGAAATCTGGGTACTTCTGTAGGCTGTGGGGCCAAACCGAATAGAGTAATGCTTCCTATCCAAACATCTCCCACAGCCTGGGTTTCAATGTTCCAAAGTTTAATTAGCAGAACAGGGGAGCTACCCTGAACGGAACTCAACACTTTGGAAACTGCCTTTTCTAGGATGCGAAGCAGGTGGATTTCCCCCAGGGGCAGGAACACATGAGTATCGGCTCTAAAACTTGCACCCACAGCGGTGTACCTTTTCACTCATGACTCCAGAACGCACCCTCCGAAGTTCCTGCATCTGACCGCCAACTCCCAACAACAAACCAAGGTGCACACACAGCGTCCGAATGTATGTGCCGGCCTCACAACTCACCCAGAAGATTCCTAAAGGTAATACATTTATTACATTGAATGTATTAATGTATTGTTATTACATTCCAAAAGTTAATACATTTTCCAAAGTAAACACATCGCTAACTGAAAAACCTAGTTATTCGGTACTGGAGGCAGCGAGACTAAAAACAACAGAAACGGGCCCTGACCACACCAACTCCTAAAGGCATCTATTAACGAGAGAATCCAATTCTTAGCAGTGCATTCCTGGGGCACCTGTGTGGCTCAGTTGGTTAAGCATCTGACACAAGAGTGGCTCAGTGTCGACTCGATTTTGGCTCAGATCACAATCCCAGGGTCATAGGATCAAACTCCTCATCAGGCTCCACACTGAACGTGAAGCCTGCCTAAGACGCTCTCCCCCTCTACCCCAGTCAAGCTCTCTCTTAAAAAAAAAAAAGGGGGGGGCGCTCCTGGGTGGCTCAGTTAAGCATCCAACTTCAGCTCAGGTCATGATCTCATGGCTCAAGGGTTCGAGCCCTGCATCGGGCTCTGTGCTGACAGCTACCTCAGAGCCTGGAGCCTGTCTCAGATTCTGTACTTCCCTCTCTCTCTGACCCTCCCCTGCTCACGCTGTCTCTCTCTCTCTCCTAGAAATAAATAAAACATTAAAAAAAATTTAAAAAAAAATTTTTCAAATTTAAAAAAAGCATTCCTGTCCACATATGGTGTCACGTCAGTTCAGTTCCTCAAAGGCCTAAGGACCCACCTAATCTTCTTTCTGGATCGTACTCGATCATCTTGCTCTCGTATATGGTCCGCACTCGGAGCTGCCTCTTTACTGCAGCAATAAGTGGGGGTCGCTGGAATAAGGCACCTGTCAGAGTTTCTAGGGCCTGAGAAGAAGCACAAACCAAAATAAAGGCTCCACTGTGGCCGGCTGAGGACACAACGGAAACACAAAGTATCCTGCAATCATTTAAGACCTACAACGCCCTTTCTGTTTTTGTTTTTCGTCAACGACACAGGGAGGCCTCAGTGCTAGCGAGAGCCTCTTCCTCAGAGGCGGTGCGGGCAGAAGCACCCTGCCACGTGCGGTCACAAGGCAGGACAGCCGGGAGAGCCGACCTGTCTCCAGATGCCTACGGGCCCAGCCACCCAAGTTCCTGTCATGACACTTACCCTAGAAAGCAGAGTCCCCCCTTCAATGGCGTTGTGTAGCCGGACAATGCCCACATACTCTTTGCCTGAAACACGACAAAAGAGTAGTCAGGTGTGGCCAATGAGTTTTCTGTATTTTTAAAAATATGCTCAGATTCACATTTTGTTTAACAGGAAAAGCAGGCCACTTGACCGCTCTCTGTAAAATCTGCATCAGGACAAATTTCATGGTTTGGACGCAGGAAAGACCCAAACCCACTCTCTCTCACTGGCTGTTCAACTTCCAGCGTGTGGGTGGGACCCGCTGGCGCGCCCCGTGTACTGCACACTCTGTAGAAATCCTTTTTGGGGCGCCTGGGTGGCCCAGTCACCTGCGCGTCCTCCAACTCTTGATTTTGGCTCTGGTTATGATCTCATGGTTGGGGAGTTCCAGCCCCGCGTCAGGCTCTGCACTGACAGTGTGGAGCCTACTTGGGATTCTCTCTCTACCCCTCCCCGGCTCTCTCCCCCTCTCAAAATAAACAAGCATTTAAGAAAAAAAAAGAAAAAAAAGAAAAAACCTTGGAAGGTCAAATATGAGAGATTCTCCTGATGAAAATTTCCAAGGGCCAAAAACTAGAAGGAAAGGAAATGTAGAAAGCCTTCCAGTATCAAAGTAGCCGTCTCTTTATTCCCTCATCCACATACCTGCACTCTGCTGGGACTTCACCAAGCGAGTGGCTCGTTCTATGCACACGATTAGGCAGCCAGTCACCTTGGGATCCAGAGTGCCACTGTGTCCTGTCTTCTCCACCCGCAGGATTCGTCGGATCCACGCCACCACCTCGTGGGAAGAGGGGTTGGAGGGCTTGTCAAGATTAATGAAACCTGTCCTGGAATGGAAAAGAAATCACTGTGCCGTCATCGTTGGCCCTTTAATAAAAACTAAATCTGAAGAGGAAAAAAGTTCAGGATGGGTATAGGTTATATATTATTTAGGCAATTCTAGGCCATTCTAAAATACCACTACCTCCTTGAATAATTCACGCGGAAAGGTTGTTTTTGTTTTTGTTTTAAAGAAAAGTCTATGTGCAATGTGGGGTTCGAGCTCATGACCCGAAGACTAAGAGTCAGGCGTTCTCTCGGCTGAGCCAGCCGGGCACCCCTGAAAAGGTCCTTTTGAAAAGAAGTTTGGGGGCACCCAGGTGGCTCAGTCGGTCAGATCATGATCTCACAGTTCGTGGGTTCAAGCCCCGTGTCGGGCTCTGTGCTGACAGCTCAGAGGCTGGCGCCGGCTTCGAATTCTAGGTCTCCCTCTCTCTCTCTGCTCCTCCCCTGCTCATGTTCCGTTCTCTTTCTCTCTCAAAAAATGAATAAACATTTAATACAAAAAAGGAAAAGAAGTCTGAACAGTGCTTGCTCCCAACATACTTACCTGATATAGTCCCCGATCTCTCTCTTCAGAGGATTTGAACCACAAGGAAGAGGTGTGTAGTGTGTTGTCCTTACATTTAGCTTATCGAAATTCTGGGAAGGATACAACACAGAATAAACCTAATAAACCATTAGCACATGTACAACAAAAGTCAGCACCACTATCGACCATGATACATACGACTAACTTTCCTGTTTTCATTAGGCGGTGCGACCCCTGCAGAATCACCCAGCCTCCACCCTGAGGGCAGAACTTAAGACAAAGCTGATCGCTCCTCCAGACACACTTCTTGGGGGCGCCGGGACCAGCCACAAGGTTTCTCATCTCTGCTTTTCTCCCATCTGCTCCTTTTTCCGCTCCTCCTTTCCAGGGCTCAACCAGAGCACTCAAAGAGCTCCCCTCACCTGAAGCTCACCTTTCACGTCACCCAGGTTTGTTTCATCGTAGCGCTTCCACAAATAGCAATTATTTTTTAAACTGTCTACCTCCCACCCTGGATTTTACATTTCACAATAGTAGGGACTGTGGCCCACCCGGTTCACCAGCATAGCCCCAGAACCTTTAACAGAAAAGCAGATATAAAGGGAGACCCATCTGGCCAAGCAGAACCTGAACCGTGTTGGGTTACATAAGCAAATCTCACTCATTTACCTAATATACATTGGTTTATTACAAAATTTTTGGCAAGAGGCATCTGAGGAACTTTCTCTATCCTAGCTGCTTCTCCTAATTTCGTACCTGGCGCCCCCTAAGTTGTTTGTGAAACTTGTAATTCAACTCATCACTGAGCCAGCCTACTTAAAACCCAACACAACGGTCAGCAGTTTTCTAGAGAACGTCTTACATGCCAGGCACTATGGGGAAACACATTTCATGGATTACCTCCTGCAGCCCTCAGCTGCCTTCCCAATAAAACAGATCACGAGCAAACCACCTCAGAGGTTAAATGAACACACTGCCTGACTCAAATCGGTCTCACTTGAAAGCCCATGTTCTCAAGCACTAAAGCCGTCCTACTCCAAGTGCGGCTCACAGACTAGTACGGGTCTGTGAAGTGGAGTCAAATACAGAAACCGAGAATTATTTATACCCTTTGATGGAGGTCTGACATTGTGACATGTTAACTGTATCATGTACAGCGTTGGGGGCACCAGACATGAAAAACCAACCGAAACAAACCCTGGTCCTTCATGTGAGACACACTGAAAAACACTGGTTTAGACTGTATCAACTGCCATTTCCAAAGTCCAGGATGCTAGCACTAATCACTTTTAATTGAACCTTTTAACACTTAAATAAGGTAAAAGCCAGGCATTGATCCGATGCATAATTTTTAACCACATACCTTGAGCAACAGGGGCCACTGAGATGTGTCCAACTGAGCCGCCTTGGATTCGGGTTTGATAAGAAATTCTTCAGCGTGTTGTATCTCCTTACACGGAACAGAAACACACCTGTTAGGCCTCCCACGTGATTTTCAACAATCCCATTGCTACCACAGAAGTCTAAGCCTTTTAAATAGAAAACAAGGTATTCTCTATTCATCTTCACTGGGACCTCCAAAGAAAAACGAAATGAACAGGATCTCAGAAAAGTTAAGTGCCACCAAGATGGGGACAGGTACTTAAAAGAGAAATAGGAATAGTGGGTCTGTGGGTGGGATAAAACAGCATTTCAGAGAGAGCGGCTGGTGTGCCAACACCATTCACCAAACTATACTTGACCGGAGAGACTCGGGTGACCAGGGTTGTGTATTTCCCACACAACAACTACCCAAATCCAACCCATTCCTTAAAAACTTGTAGAAACAGTTGTTTTATGCAACTGTTACCTATGTAACGTTTCCTTTTAGTCAAAGCAAAGCAAAACATATTCCTACTCACTGCTACGTCTTCTTCTGCTAACGACTTCCGCTCCTTTTTCTTCTTATGTTTCTTCGCCACAATATACACTGAAACAGACACACTGGAGATATGGGAGTTTTTCCCAAAAATGAGGGCAACGAAGCTTCAAATGGAGAGTGAAATCAGAGCAAGCAGGAATTGGACGTTTGATATACAATTACTGGGGAAAACCGAGTGTGTAAAGGCCAAACGCGTGGGCTGCACGGCCTGATAACCGACCGCAGGCCGTCGCACACGTCGGCTTCCATTCCGGCTCACCACGTGGCCGTGGCGGGGCTCAGATCTGCCGCAGGAGCGCTCGGGCCAAGGCCCTCCAAGTCCCCCGAGTGACCACACAGCCGCCCCCTCCCCGGTTCCCGGCCTGTACAACTTTCTCTGCACTTGGAGCTGCGCGCACGCCCAAACCCCTTGGGCCCCTCTCCTGCCAGGGCCTCTTCCCAGCGCCCTTCCGCGTGGCGCCGACCGGGGCGTGCGGGCCGGCGGGCGGCACAGGTACGGCCAGGTCTCCCGTCACCGCGGGGTCGCCGGCGCGGCCAACGCCTTTCGGCGGCGACCCGGGCCCTCAGGCGGCCGTGCCATCGACGGGAGGCCTGAGCTTCTCAGAGCCACGTCACTGCCAGCACCTCTCCATCTCCGACCGTCACCCTTTGAGCCAAGGCCAAGAGGAAGGCCACCAGGAGGCCCGGCAGCCACGGGGCCGGACGGGCGGCAAACCCGCGGGGAGCGCGGCCCCCGACGCCGCCACCCTCCCACGCCGGCTCTCCGCGCCGGCGGAGCTGGTACTCGGCCCACCACCCACGAGGAAACGACACTTTACCTTCCGCGTCCGCCATGTTGCCCCGCACAGCGTGCGAGCAGCGTGGGACACCGCGGAGGGAGCGAGCACAGACTCCCGCCGCCCCTCAGGCCGCGCCACTAAGCCCCGCCCAACTCCGTGACGCCCAGTGCGCGCCGCGCCGCGGGGGCGGCGGGGGCGGGGCCACGCTCTGGGAGCACAGCCCGGGGCGCGCGCGGGCCTTCCGCACAATTTCATTGGTTGGGTTGCCTCCCTCCGAACGCGGTAGCGCGCACGCGCGTGCGCCTTGGGCCTCGTCCGGCCCCGGGCGGCCAGCTTTGGAGACGCCTGCGCAGTCGGCCCCGGCGGCCCGTAACGTGTGGGCGCGGTCCCGGGCCGAGATCGCAGACCTTCGCTGGGTTTCACGCGGGCTTAGGCACCTGGGCGTCCCGCGAGCACTCTGTTAACAGCCGCTAATTGCATCCTCCCGCCGACCCTTGAAGGTTGGGTATCGGATCAGTCCCGATTGAAAGTGAGGACGTTGAGGCACAGAGAGGCTGAAAGTTCTTTGCTGTTTGCAATTCCCATCCAGCTAGAGCGCCGCTGGCCAATAGGAATACTGTGCGAGCTGCTTGTGGACTTTTAAATTCTCCAACAGACACATGACCAAAAAAAAAAAAAAGGAAAAGGAAAAAGGTGAAATTGATTTTAATAACGAATTTTGTTTAACCCGGTGATCCGAAATACCTTCATTTCAACATATAAGCGATACACAACATTATGAATGGGGTAGTTTACATTTTTTTGGCACTGTCTTTTCAGTGTGTGTTTTACACTTAAACACACCTCGATTTGAAGTGCACGAAGGGGGGCTCCGTGTCAAGGACTCTCTGTAGTCACAGATCCCTTAATGGCTGCAGTATCTGACAGCCAGGAAATACCAAATCCTGGTGCAAACTCTCTTCCCTTCTGTCTTTGGTGTTCATCTCACGCTTCTATCTATTAAGCAGGGGTTTTTTTTTAAGACTTTTTTAAAAGTTTACTTATTTTCAGAGAGAGCGAGCAGGGGACAGGCAGAGACAGAGGGAGAGAGAGAGAAAATCCCCAACCCCAACCAGGCTCTGCACTAACAGCGGAGAACTCACGCACCGTAAGATCAGGATCTGAGCTGATATCAAGAGTCCGTGGCTTAAAGGACTGAGCCACGCAGGCGCTGCTCAAGCAGGGGTTCTTAATCTAACCTCTGTGGACTTCACTGGTTACAATTCATTTAATTGTTTATTGCTACGGTAAATGAAATCCTTTGCCGTTATCTTTTCAAACGACTTGCTGCTTTGCTTCCAATTTTCCTCTGCCGTACAAAAATTAGAAATGTTTGGGGCGCCTGGGAGGCTCAGTCGGTTAAGCGTCGACTTCGGCTCAGGTCTTGATCTCACAGCTCTTGAGTTCCAGCCCCACGTGGAGCTCGGTGCTGACAGCTCAAAGCCTGGATCCTGCTTCAGATTCTGTGATTCTCTCTCTCTGCCCCACCCCCACTTGCACTCTGTCTCTCCTTGTGTCTCAAAAATGAATAAATGTTTGAAAATTTTTTAATTAGAAATTTTTTCACTTGTGGGGCGCCTGGGTGGCTTAGTCGGTTAAGCGTCCGACTTTCACTTAGGTCATGATCTCGCGGTTCGTGGGTTCGAGCCCCGCGTCGGGCTCTGTGCTGACTGCCGGCTCAGAGCCTGGAGCCTGTTTCAGTCTGTGACTCCCTGTCTCTCTGACCCTCCCCTGCTCACGCTGTCTCTCTCTCTGTCTCCTAGAAATAAATAAAACGTTAAAAAAAAAAAAAAGCTATTAAAAAAAAGAAATTTTTTTCACTTGTGTTTTACTGTGGCTTAAAAAGTTGATTTGTTTTGGGGCGCCTGGGTGGCTCAGTCTGTTAAGCGTCCCACTACGGCTCAGGTCATGATCTCACGGTTCGTGGGTTCGAGCCCCGCATCAGGCTCTGTGTTGACAGCTAGCTCAGAGCCTGGAGTCTGTTTCAGATTCTGTGTCTCCCTCTCTCTCTGACACTCCCCTGCTCACACTGTCTCTCTTTCTCAGGAATAAATAAAACATTTTTTTAAAAAAGTAGATTTGTTTTTCCTCACTTAATGTTTAATTCTATGTAGAATTTATTTAGGTGTATGCCCCAGTAATAATAATAGTGATCTAAATTGACTTTTTATAGATAACCAAAGTCCCAAGTATCAACCAATCCATGAGTAGTTCATTACTTCTCCCTCTATACTATAGTGCTTCACTGGTAAATATTTCTCTGAGTAAGTGTGGTCTTCATCTTTCTCCAGCATTCTTCATCCAATCTGTTAGCAGAGCCTCTCAGCTTTGCTTCCAGAAGAGATCCAGAATCTGATGGTTTTTTACCATCTTCACGGTGTCACCAGTCCAGGCCATCAGTATGGCTTGCCTGTATTTTTCCAGTGGCCTCCTGCCGGGCCCTCTGCCTCTACTGTCTGCAGCTATACTGTCTTCTCAATATGGCAGCTGGCAAGAGCCATTAAACTGGATTTCAGGGCATGCCCCTCCTCTGCTCAAACCCCTCAATGACTTCCCATCTGAAGTGTGATGAGATGGCCCCCCCACAAAAGGCATGTTCTGACCCCTGGGCCCTGTGAATGTGACCTTATTTGAAAAAAGTATCTTTGTAGATGTAATTAAGTTAAGGATCTCTTTTTTAATTTATTTCTGAGAGAGAGAGATAGCATGAACAGGGGAGGGTCAGAGAGAGAGGGTGATACAGAATCCGAAACAGGCTCCAGGCTCTGAGCTAGCTGTCAGCACAGAGCCCGACACGGGGCTCGAACCCACGAACCGTGAGATCATGACCTGGGCTGAAGTCGGATGCTTAACCGACTGAGCCACCAAGGCGCCCCTAAGTTAAGGATCTTAAGATGAGATCACCGTGATTACCAGGTTGACCCCACATCCAATGACAAGTGTCCTTAGAAGGGAAAAGACACCGGCAAAAAGAGAAGACCATGTGAAGATGGAGGCAGAGACTGGAGTGATTTCAGACTTCCGGCCTTCAGAACTGTAAGAGAAGGAGTTTCTGTTGTTTAAAGCTGCCCAGCATGGGGTCCTTTGTTAGGCAGCGGGAGGAAACGAATGCAGCATCTAAGAGTGTCTGTGAGGCAGCTGCCCAGTCTCTTCCTGCGTCCAGCTTCATCCCCTTCTGCCCTTACTCACCCCGCTGCTGGCTCACTGCCTCTTGACCATCCGGGACTACTCCAGGCACCCTCCCCCTCCTCGGGTCTTCTGCACCTGCTCTCCCCTCTGCCTTAAGTGAACCTTGTTTATTGTCTCTCTTCACTAGCATGTTAGCCTTATGAAGCCAGGAAAATTTTGTCTGCTTCGTTCCCTGCTATATATCCAGCTCCTAGAAGATGCTCAGTAAGTAGATTTGTTTAATGAATCTGTGTCTTCTGAATCCAGAAAGCCCATGGACCTGCCCTTGGCAACAGAAGCAGCCCCCCTCCCCTGTCCGATGAGGCCGATCCTGCCTTTCCTGGGGATCCTGTGATGAAATCACCTGGTAGTTCCTAGGCAAAAGGATGCCAAGCTCGTCACATCCCTCATTGTCTCCCATCCCCCATCCCAAGACTCGGGTGGGTTGAATGTTGGGATGAGCTTGTCGTGTGCAACCTACTGGCTCAGCCCTTAACTACACCCCCTAAGAGAGCTCCAGGGACCTTCCTTTTACCAAAACACCTAGACATATTTGGTGAAGGTTCTGGAAAACTAGTCTGGGAAAGGAAGTGAGAGGTGTTGCCATGGAAACAGGCTTGCACTCTCAGTGGGAATGATGGGATCCTGGAGCAGCAGAGGCCAAGTGGTGGCACTAAATGTCATAGCACAGGATGGGTGTCATGACGGGCAGCAGGGCTGGGGGGGCGGAACCAGAATGGTTTCTCCCCAAGGACTTGGCCTCTGCCAAGGATCGGTCATGATGGCCTGTCAATAGGCCCCCTATGGGCCACCATGGTCTGTATAACCCCAGCCACAAAGACTCCAGGTCTGGTGAATGTCAGTCTGCATTGAGTCACCACAGTGAAACTCACAGACTCCCCAGACCCAGTCAGTCCACAGGCTCAGGGCCCTCAAGTGAAGATGAGGCCAGGTATACTTGACACTAGTGTATACGTAAAAAAAAAAAAAAAAAAGTTTATTTATTTAGTTTGAGAGAGAGGGAGTGTGTGTGCATGCAAGCAGGGGAGGGGCAGAGAGAGTGAGAGAGTGAATCCCAAGCAGGCTCCATCTGCACTGTTAGCACAGAGCCTGACTTGAGACTCGATCTCACAAACCTTGAGATCGTGCCCTGAGCCGAAATTAAGAGTCAGAAACTCAACCGACTGAGCCACCCAGGCGGCCCATGGTGTATACTTTACACCTTCATTCTTCTTTCCCATGGGGACGTAGACTGCCATTGCAGCCCACTGGTCGGAGACCTAGGCTGTGTCCGTCTCCCTCTGGGTCCTCCTTGGCTTTTCCCCCAGTTCCTGACTACATAATTGGAATAAACACAATCGGGAGCTGGAAAATTTCCACCAGGGGCTTTTTGATGCAAGAACACAGGACAATTATGGAAAGAACAGTCAAAAGGAAGCCTCTGAAACTGTCCCTTCAGTTCTCTGGCATATTCTTGAAATTAAGTCCCCAGGGACTGACTCAATCATCTCACTGTCCCCCAAGACATCATGCTGGTCCATTACATGAATAATATCAGGCTGACTGGACCTGATGCATAGGAAGCGGCAAATAGTTCATCACAGGATGAGAGATAGGCCCCACAAAAATGCGGGGGCCCACCACCTCCATGAAGTTTCTGGGTGTCCAGGGTGCTGAGGCATATTGAGACGGACCCCCCCAAAGAGAAAACCAAGTTGCTGTACCTCCAGCCCCCGCTGCTGAGAGAGAAGCACGGTGCTCAGTGGGCCTCATTCTGGAGCTGGCGTTCCCCATCAGGGTGCTACCCAGAGCCCTTTCCAAGCTTTGAGAAGAGAATCACAGCTCAGGCCTCTGGAATTTGGGACAAAAATGAAGCTAGGACAGACCAGGTGGCTGGTTAGCTCAGCTGAGTAGCACGTGACCTGGCAAC